CTGTTTCAGTCTGTGACTCCCTCTCTCTCTGACCCTCCCCTGCTCACGCTGTCTCTCTCTCTCTCTCTCCTAGAAATAAATAAAACATTAAAAAAAAAAAAAAAAAAGAGGAACTCTAGGTTAGCAGTAACACTAAACACTGCTTTCAAAAGCACTCATCAAAAATTAAAAGCCTGATCTCCAGACAGATACTTTTACTTTTAGCTTTCCTTTAAAGTTCAAAATTAACATGCCTAGATCTTTACCATTAAAATATTTTCAAGACTTCAACAAATACCTAGCATTTAAAATGTAACTAACACAATTCCATCTTAAAAATACTTTTACAAAAAAGAGCTCAATTCATTTGCTCTTTTCAACCAATTATGTGACATATACAAGCCAGGTATTAATAAAGAAAATTATCCAAAACTAAACAACCAGAAAAAAGAAAAGGATAAGACCAAATCCAGTCTTTGGGTTCCTTGCCAGGTAATTCTCCAATTTACATAAATTTTAGCTCCTACTTCATAACCTGATTAACTCAAGTTCCTTCCCACTTAGTTTTTATAAGAAAATATACTATTATTTAAATATCTGAATGGGGAGGCAGTTGTGATATAATCAAAAGTACAGAAAAGGTGAACTTTCAAGAGCAACCTTGGAAGTGACTAGGAAAATTTAGATTTATCTACAAGTACCTAATAGTACTTCACACACACACACACACACACACACACACACACACACCTCTCTTTTACAACCTCCTTTCCCACTAGAGCATCACATTTAGCTCAGTCTCAGCCAAAACGACACAGGTCAAATTATTTTAATTTCATATATTAACCCAACAATTCCACTTCTAGGAATCTATCCTAAAGAAATATACCCATAAATGTGCAAAGATATATGTGTAAGGATGTTTACTGAAACAATGCTTAAAACAATTAAAAAAAAAAAAAGCTTGCAACAATTAAAAAAAATGGAGGTACTATCAACAGAAACCTTTATAAATAATCGCATAACCATGCAGAGGAGTACTACTCAACTACTCAGCCATCAAAAAGGATCGGATCTGGGGCGCCTGGGTGGCTTAGTCGGTTAAGCGACCGACTTTCCGACTTTCGCTTAGGTCATGATCTCGCGGTTTGTGGGTTCGAGCCCCGCGTCGGGCTCTGTGCTGACTACCAGCTCGGAGCCTGGNTTTGTGGGTTCGAGCCCCGCGTCGGGCTCTGTGCTGACTACCAGCTCGGAGCCTGGAGCCTGTTTCAGTCTGTGACTCCCTCTCTCTCTGACCCTCCCCTGCTCACGCTGTCTCTCTCTCCTAGAAATAAAAAAAAAAAAAAGGATCGGATCTACATATATACGACTCTTTAAATACCTCTGCACATACAACTTGTAAGGCTTCATCTGAAGCAAGTTAATAATCAGTCAGAATTCCCAAAAAATCCACAATTTAAAAATAAGGGAAGGCATAAAAATACTAGTAATACTAATACTAATGAAAAACTGAGAACTAATGCAATATATAAGTATTATAATTGGTAAATGAAGTATTTGTTTAGAGTCACATTGCCGGCTTTTATATATAAATGGAATAAATTAAAAGGCAAAGACACAGTGGGATATTTTTCTCCTCCTACCAAGGGGCATACAAGAATTGGGGAAAAATCCAATTTAAAGAATTATTTGAGGAGGAATGTATTCAAGATGGAAAAGATATGAAAGGCATTAATATTTTGGCATTAATATATTTAGTTGTACTTCATATTTTAAATAGCTGAGGTCAACATTTGAACAGTTTTCCAGGAAATGCAGAAATATAGGGTAATCCACTGAATAAACCACTATTGCTCTCCTAAGCACTTAAGTCATTTAAAGTGCTTCTAAGTCCATCATTTTCAAATACCAACACGATTCTTTAAAAAAGGAGGGGCACTTAGGTGGTTCAGTCTGTTAAGTGTCCGGCTTGATTTCAGCTCAGGTCTTGACCTCAGGGTCATGAGTTCAAGCCCTGCACCAGGCCCCACGCTGGGTATGGAGCCTACTTAAAAATAACTAGAATAAAAATTTTTTTTAAACAAATAAAAATAGAGGGGGGGAATCTCTTTAAAAATAACTAACATCTATTGTAATTTATACTTTTACTAGCTACTAGAGCCAGAATATAAACTTCCCATAAAAACCTAATTATAATACTATTCTCTGTGTCCATGCCAAGAAGCAGCCTTACAGAGGATTCTAAATATTTTTGAGACGGATTTTAATAAATAAGCCCCTAACTTGGATTCATAAAGGATCAGCTCTACACAATCAATATATAGTAAATTACCCAAACATTAACTGAGAGCAAAATCATATTTACTATTTTTTAATCTAAATTTTAGTTAACAAACAGTACAAAATTGGTTTCAGGAGTAGAATTCATTGATTCATAACTTCCATACAATACCCAGTGCTCATCACAAGTATCACCCATTTATCTCATTCCCCCAATTACCTCCCTCTATCAACCCTCACTTTGTTCCCTTTTGTTAAGAGTCTCTTATGGTTTGTTTCCCTCTCTTCTCTTTCCATTCACCCTCCCCCCCCACTTATCTCTTCTGTTTCATTACTTAAATTCCACATGAGTTAAATCATATAGTATCTTCCTTTCTCTGATTGACTTGTTTCACTTAGCATTAAACTAGCTGCATCCACTTTGTTGCAAATGGCAAGATCTTATCCTTTTTGATGGCTGAGTAATATTCCTGTGTGTGTGCTACACACACACACACACACACACACACACACACAACCTTCTTTATCCATTCGTTAGTCGATGGACAGGGACTCCTGAGTGGCTCAGTTGGTTAAGCATTAGTCGATAGACACTTGGGCATATTTACTATTAAATAGTTTAAGCAAGTGAAAAGTTTTATTAAATCCTCACTTTACAGATTTTTCTCCTGTTGTTTATTCATGATTCAGATGGTTATATTCTGACAAAAGCATATGACAAAAAAGATATAGTAAAGGTTATTTTTATTTCCCTTCTTTCATCTATCCAATATTTTTATCTTTTGTGATTCTTACTACTCACCATGCCCTCAAAGCCAACCCTGTAAAGGTTCTTAGCACCATTATCCCAGAGAACATATGCTGCACTATGTGGGCTCGATGCGCTCCAGTCCTGGATTTCCGTTACCTAAGGGAATGATTGGAGAAAACAGGTTTTTTTTAAAGGGGAAGGGAGAAGTTAGTTCAGTTAGTTATACTTAAAATCTTAAATCATTTCAGCTATCATCCTCTGTAACAGAATCATAAAAAATACTTTTTTGTCAAACATGTCAATTCTAACATATAACTGAATTATAATTAGACATTTTTCCAGAATTATAAGTAATTCCTAAAATCACTATAGAAATACTGAATTGGGAGGCTTAGTGATTACAATAATAGATCATCAGAAAATACACAATTCAATATAAAATTTTAAATTTTTATTCTTAAAAGGTTCCTTTTAAGAACAGTGTGTTATTTTACATCCATTATTCATTACAAAATTCAGAATCTTTGACCAGATACCCAGACTGATTCAAAATAAACCTGCTCTCTGGTCAACTAAAAGCTGACAAGCACAAGGCTCACTGCCAATGTTTAAGGAAGACTTGAACTGATGTCACTCCTCCAGCACTATATCCCTCAGTTGCCCCAGGAAGCAAGTCATCTAAACTAAAACACCATGCTTACAATGGAAACCCAGGCACAATCTCTAGGCCTCACATCCAACAGACTGATTCATAAGCTCTTTGACATTAAAAAACAAACAAAAAACAAAAAAATGGGGCTGCTACTACTTAGGAGCCAAGAATCAACATATCATAAAAATAATATATGCTGAGCACTAAATTTGGTAAACCAGTCTATAACTAAAAATGCAGAGTTGTACAGGTGCAACTCATTACTCTTCTCCATCCTGTCACTTATAATCATCCACCCTTTACAGTTACTTAGAATGCCAGGCTGATGTTAAATATAATTTTTAAGGCATGACCTTAAAATATAATTTTAAAGCATAATCTTATTTTGAAAAAGACATATAATAACCCTTCCATGTTTTTACCCTGTACTAAAAAAATCATTTTGTAAGCTACATGTTTTATGACTGATGCTTCTGTAAAGATAAAAGGTTTTATGTTAAGATTTAATTGAATAGTTGGGAAATATTTCAAATTGTTAGTATGAATCCATTTCTTTTTAATTCTGAAATAAATCATACATTATAAAAAATATATGTAAACTTTTAAGAATAAAAATGAAATGAATACCAGCCTAAGAAAAAGAACATTACCAGTACTTTCCAAGTCCACAGTGTGCATCCCATCAAGCCCATCCTCCTGGCCTCCCACCAGGGGTAACTCCCACTTTGAATTTACAGTCCATCACTGTGTTGCTTTGCTTTAGGATTTTCACAACTAACCACTGTATAACATTATAAAGCAATGATATTTAACACTTTAAAGTGAAATATGCAATCTTTAGTAAAACATTCTTTCTGATTCTAAAACATACTACTTCATTTGTTTTAAAAATGCAATGCTATAATAAACAAGTATTTTTATAAAGGGCACAAAAAGAGCAGTTGACAAAAAAAAAAAAGACTACAGATTTTATTTAAATCAAATTCATCTTGTATTTTAAATTACGTGGCATATAACTAAGTTCATTAGTCAAACTCTGAATCCTAAATTAAATTCCTTTATTTGTTACTATGATCTGACTTATTGAGGGGGAAACAAAGTGAAAGGCTTAAGAAAATAACTATGTTAACTTTATTCTTTTAAGTTTATTTTTGAGAGACAGAGAGAGATAGACAGAGAGACAGAGAGAGGAAGGCAGGGAGGGAGGGGTGGAAAGAATAGGAGAGAGAGAACCCCAAGCAGGCTCCATGCAGTCAGCACAGAGCCCAATGTGGGGCTCGAACCCATGAATCATAAGATCATGATCTGAGCCGAAATCAAAGAGTCAGACGCCTAACCGACTGAACCACCCAACCGTCACTAATTATATTAATTTTATAATTTCAATTCTTAATAAGAAATATGTGCAGAATAGATGCTAAAACCATTAGGTAAAAAGATGCTGAGGAACTCTATAAAGAATCAAACTGACAATACCTGCCTCTATTGCTCAACCTTAACATCAGTAAGATCATCAGACTTTACATACCTTGATGTGATGTAACAGAGAACACACAATACCACTTATGAAGTTCGCTTACCAAAACAAAATTGAACCTGAATCTAATCAAACCACTATATCTAATTACTAGTTTATAAGAAACACAAGAGTCAGTGGAACGAGTTATAGAATACTGATTTCTTTAACAAATAAATGGCATTTCAAAAAGACAGTTTTTGAAGTTGGGTGATAGGTGCATGGAAATTCATTATACTGTTCTTTCTACTCTAGTGTATGTTTGCAATTCTCCATAATAAGGAGTTTTCTTAAAAGAAAGAAATATTGGGGACCTGGGTGGCTCTGTCAGTTAAGCGTTCAACTCTTGATCTCAGCTCATGATCTCACACTTTGTGAGTTCGAGCCTCACATAGGGCTCTGCACTGACAGTGTGGAGCCTACTTAGAGTTCTCTCCTCCTCTCTCTCCTCCTACCCAACTCATGTTCTCTCCTTCTCAAGGTGAATGGATAAACTTAAAAAAAAAATTGTAATACTAAAAAATAAATATATCTAACCTACCTATGTAAAATACAACTGACACATATTCAAAAGCATTTGTAAATGAAAATAGTCTTCAAATACTAACATATCAGTGGTACTTGAGAAACCCTTTAAGAATACACTACACACATGGGGCGCCTGGGTGGCTCAGTTGGTTAAGTGTCCAACTTCGGCTCAGGTCACTATGTCATGGTTTATGAGTTCGAGCCCTGCATGGGGCTCTGTGCTGACAGCTCAAAGCCTGGATCCTACTTCGGATTCTGGGTCTCCCTCTCTCTCTGCCTCTCCCCCACTTGTGCTCTGTCTCTCTCTGTCCCTCAAAAATAAATAAATGTAAAAAAAATTTTTAAAAAAGAATACACTACACACTCCATGTTTTTCCATCATGTATGCCAAAGCCTACACTTAACAGGTTTATTTTCATGTGTGAACTTTGTTAGCACCATGCAAATCATGGGACATGTTCGCATGTGGCGGGCCAAAGATTTTTGTCTTAGCCTGGGCTGGTACCTTAATATAGTTCATGCTCACCATTTAGTTGAGCAAATGTAATAACGACAGTGTGATGGGAATCTGAACCTCACACATGGGGGAACAAAAAAGATAAGAAAAGAAGACACTACATACTATCCATGTGGGTTAGCCAGGGATTTGGGATAAAGCAGTCCAAACTGAAGGGAAAAGGGGGGACTTGAAAAACTTTCTTCATATACACACATAGGCAAAAATAAAAGTCATGCAAAGAAATTACATTTGATCTCACACATGTGCTTAAACAGACTTATTACATTAAGTTCCCTTACTCGCATGTACAAGACAGCTTCATTTATTTTTCCTCATTTTGTTCTTAAAATACAGCATATATTAAATCATAACAAACCAAAAATGTAATATTGATGACTCAAAGCTTCAAAAATGCCTACTTTTTCATCCCCCCAAAAAGTGCCAAAATAACAGAAACCCAAAAAGTTCCATTTATGATGTGGCCTCAGACTTCAACAACCACAACTGCCTTCAAAAGCTGATGAGAAAATAATTCCCAATCCTATGACTATATAATTAATTGTGAGGAATAACATAAAGTTAGAATAAATATATTAAAAATGTACTTCTCATGCACTCTTTCAAAAGAAATTATTATAAGTGTACTCTACCAAAAGAGTGAGGGAATAAGATGCTATAATAGGATACAAAAATTAGATCCAGCCAGGAAAGAGGCAAAGGCATCCATCAAAGGGAGCTTCCAGGATGACTGCTGGGCACCATGCATCAAGGGTGATCTGTCCAAACTGCAGCCATGTGATTCACAGGCCAGACGTGCTGAAGGTTCCTATCACCAAGATCCCCACTGCCATTGCCATTGTAACGTTTTATTGACCTGAGGACACACTGCCCAAGTGAGCCCGACTCAAATTCTCAATTGCACTTGGCTCGTTTGGACTAAGTAATAATGAAGTCCCTACTCTTCCCACTACCCCCATTCCCTGCCACCTAGATCACCTGAATCATCTCACACCACAGAAGGCTCTGCTTTGACCTACTCTTAAAACTTTGATGTATGATCATATGAGCTTAGAAGCAAAAAATACATAGTAACCCATCCCCTCAAACTGTATCCCTGCCTGAGGCCCACCACCTCACCTATACTTCTGCCCTGCTTGAGGTCCTGTGTCAAGCCCTGTGTTTCCCAGAACCTTACCCACTGACTACTCCAGGACCTTCATCAACTACCAGAGAAGCAAGGCAGGTTAGCCACAAACTATTAAGTCTATATTCTCCTGGGAGCTTCAGTCTAAAAGTGGAAATTCTTGAGGGCACCTGGGTGGCTCGTGTCATGATCTCACAGTTTGTGGGTTCGAGCCTCGCATTGGGCTCTGTGCTGACAGCTCAGAGCCTGGAGCCTGCTTTAGATTCTGTGTGTCCCTCTCTCTCTCTGCCCCTCCCCCACTAGTTCATTTTTTCTCTCTCTCTCTCTTGCTCTCACTCTCACTTGCTCTCTCTCAAAACAAAACGCTAAGGGGGGTGCCTGGGTGGCTCACTCGGTTAAGCATCCGACTTCGGCTCAGGTCATGATCTCACAGTTTGCGGGTTTGAGCCCCACGTCAGGCTCTGTGCTGACAGCCAGCTCAAAGGCTGGAGACTGTTTCAGATTCTCCCTCTCTCTCTGACCCCACCTGCTCATGTTGTCTCTCTCTCAGAAATAAATAAAATACTTTTTTAAAAATTAAAAAAAAAAAAAAACTAAACATTAAAAGAAAAATTTTTAAAGAGGGTTTCTCAGATGACCAGGACTTTTTTTTTTTTTTAAGTTTATGTATTTATTTTGAAAAAGAGAGAGAGCATGTCCCTCCCCCCCCACACACACAAACAGACACCAGCAAAGGAGGGGCAGAGACAGAGGAAGGCAGAGAATCTCAAGCAGGATCCACATCGTCAGTGCAGAGCTTGAGGCCAAGCTCAAGCCCACAAACTGTGAAATCATGACCTGAGCCAAAATCAAGAGTTCTGATGCTTAACAAACTGAGCCACGCAGATGCTCGGATGACGAAGACTTTAAAATCATCATTCATCAATGAATGGAAATACAATTTTTTCAAGAAGGTAACGTGTAATGAACTGATAGTGACTGACATCTAAGTCTTAAACATGAAACGTTACTCATTCCAGTACATCTAGCATCTAGCATAACACAAAATATACATATTCAAGATTACTTGACTGGCTGAATCAATGAATGAATAATCAGCAAAAGCAACATAAAATACAAAATAAATAAAACCAACTACCCACGTACCCCAATATCTTTGGTCCCACCCAACTAAACAGGCTATACAAGCTATTCCATTCAGAGTAACTGCTATAATTGATTCCTGGACAATTACCTGAGAAGGGTAACAGAGTTAAGTAGACTGGATAACAAAAAAAGTAGCTGCCTAGAAACAGGCCTTAAAGGGGATGAAATATAAAACAAGTAAATTCAAATGAAATGTTAGTAACAAAAAGTCAAGAGCAAGACATACTGCTTAAGGAGGACTGGCCCAAACAGGATGCTCAGAAAAGCAATCTGGGCAACAAAATGCCAAGATGAAGCCTAAAAGTGGAAACGTAAAATCTACCCAACAACCTTCACCATGATGTCAATATTTATAACAAAGCAGGAAAAATCTTTTTTTCTTTTGGGAAAAAAAAGAAATGAAGATTTTAAAAAACTGTCACTGACATAGGAAAAAATGGGCCAAGAATTTCAATTATAATAATAAAAATCTTCTGAACAGACCATATTCTAGAATAAGATGATGAATTAATTTAAAAAATTTCACCTTTCCCCTACGTCCATTTCCTCCATCCTGGTCTTCCCACTGCCAGTCCACTCCTCGTACCACTCTGGCACCTGCAAAGATCCCTCTGGCTGTAATCTTCTTAGATTTTCTACGAGACTCTAACAGAACCCTAAAAATAAAATTATTTTTAAGTTATATAAAAACAGGTTAACAGCAATTTATTTTTAAAAATAAAATTATAAAAAAGGTTACCTTAAAAATGTAAAAGACTTTTCTTTGTTCTAGTTAATACTTTGATAGTATGATACATAAATACTTTTACATTTCATAAGTTATACTTACGATGACAGTAGTTAGAGTAATATCTAATATTTACTGAGCTTTTACCAGAAGTGTAAAGGTCTGTTACACTACTTAAGAGAAATGTATTGTTATTTTATCCATTTCACAAATTAGGAAATAGAGTCTCAAAGAGGTAAGTGATTTACCCAAGGTCACAAAAGCTAAATAATGGAATCAACATATGAATCCAGTCTAATTACTTCAAAGTATCACTATTTCCTTCACCACTCGAGAAGTGGCAACCTCAAATCCCTAAAACTGTCAGGAAAGTAACCTAAATTAAGGCCAAAGAAAGACAACAAACACCACAACAATGACAAATGCCAAGTGGCAGTTGACCCCAGGCTCAAGAAGACAACATGGAGTGGTAGGGGCTTTGGTGAACTCAAGACTATGATTTGTCTAAAAGGTGCAGGTGGTCCTCTGCTTCAGCCAATTGTTGCCATGAACAAATGCAGGCCCAATGCTGACAGTCCTTATGGGTTTGGGTTGTGTGTTCAAAAATTTAAAGCACGGTATGGACCAAGTAAAATACATCTGTGGCCTGGATTTGACCTAACACTAGCTTGTCTCTGAAGTACTGAATCCTTACAGCAGACTGTGGACCTTGAAAAAATTCCATACTCAATAATCTGGACCAGCTTGGTTCTCCAAGGGCATCTATCCCTTATTCTTCTATATCCTTCTCATTCATAAAATCAAAAAGGCTTGGAGTTTCCCTTTTGTTTTTCTACTTTTATCTCATTATTCTACTTATTTTTAGAATGTCTTTGTTGTACCCTAACTCTAAAAATCATAAACAAAAGACAAAAATAAACAACTTGTTCAAAACTACTCAGTTAATAAACAGCAGGCTCAGGATTTGAACTGGGAGATGCTAATACCCAAATCCATTTTTCTACTACTCCTGCTGCCTCCCTATGACTGGCTAGATTCTTGCTCCTATACAGTCTCCACATCTATGTAAGAAGACTCAATCACTTGAAATTCTGTACACTTCATGATATTTCTCTCTCTTTGCAAAGACACTTAATACTAATAATCTCTATATATGGTCCAAAACATCACATGATAATCATGTTGGTCAAATAATCCCTTAGCTTATGAACTCCTTAAGAATACAGATCTTAGCTTTCTTCAAATTCACACAAGCATAGTAGCTGCCTCAAGTCTTAATAAATGCCTGTTGATTCAATCAATGGGCCCTAGTGTTCTTTTGGTAGTGATTAACAGAACAGAATGCACAGTGAGAAGAAAATAATCAGCCTCTCTTGGGCTGCCCTTGCACTTCCAAATATTGAAGGGTGCCAAGTCTCCATGCTACAGACAGAATAGTCCAGATTATCTTGGAAAAATATGTACAGCTCCATCTTCCTAGAGCTCTTTTCTCACTATATGGCAGGCCTGCTTCACATCTAGCCTGTTATCTCTTACCTCCTGGTACTAAACCAGCTGTCAGACACTATTTCTAAATTCTACTTTTAAGGCTGAATAGTACAAAAACTTGAATACAAACAAGGAATTGCAACTGAAGAAAAAACTGTTTACCCTACCGCTCACTTCCTGGTGTAGTAATTCTATAAAAGCGATGTCTTAAATGATGTTTATCTCCATGGTAACAAACAGTGCACAAATCATAATTTGTACATTCTGCACATTTCCAACGAATTCCAATGATTGGTTGCTGGCGGCAGGTGTCACACATGGTTCCGTCATGCTTGATGCCTATTAAAAAATACGGAAACGTGGTTACATTAATTGCAAGTATTATTTACTTGAATACTGCTCTCTGGGGGAAAAATAAGAACAGAGCATTTTACAAAGTTTTTCAATAAAGTAGGAAATAATATTTTAAATATACCACATATATTTTCAAGACAACGTATTTTAAGTATTTTAATCAGTGCAAATTATAGACTAAACATTTTCTATCACTTCTTTCTTCATTAGTAAGTTCACTTCTTGGCAGCACGTTCTTTGCTGTCATCCACAAACTGAAACTTAGGCTCAATCTAGTGACAGAAAGAAGAATCATTTACCACCAAGTAGATGTTTCAGACTTCAAACATTCAGATTCTTTTGAGGAATTTCAACCTATTCGCCAGGCAAACAATTACTCCAAAAGAAGAAACAAGTTTATCCTCATGATATCATGGAGACAAACTATTTAACTTGAGCATTTATCCCTAGGTATTGATCCCAAACAATAAACTTCAGAAAACGATTACCAAGTAAGTTTCCCAGTTTACAAGGAAAGAACATACTATAGTCAAGTTTGCTGTTTGTTTTCATTATGGAACAAGAAGTAATAAACCCTAGAAAAAGGAAATAAGCATTTGGCAATATGGCCTCTACTAAAAGTGTTCACATGAATGACACAGACATTAGAACTATGAAAGGGATCACTATAAAGTAATGAAAATAACTACATTTGAAAGTAACAAGATTAGGGGTGCCTGGGTGGCTCAGTCAGTTAAGCATCCAACTTCGGCTCAGGTCATGATCTCACAGTTTGTGGGTTCGAGCCCCAGTGTCAAGCTCTGCGCTGACAGCTGGCTCAGAGCCTGGAGCCTGCTTCAGATTCTGTGTCTCCCTCTCTGACCCTCCCCTTCTCACCCTGTCTCTCTCTCTCTCTCTCTCTCTCTCTCTCTCTCTCTCAGAAATAAATTTTTTTTAAATTTTAAAAAAAGAAAAAAGAAAATCCTTTATAAAAAAAGAAAGTAACAAGATTGGGGATAAGGTTTCTTTACTATTCTGTTATATTTAGATCACTTGATAAAGAAGTTAAAACTAGAAGTTTTTTAAATAATGGCCTGTGAATATCAGTGTCACTACTTTACTTCACATACTTTATAGTATGGTCAAATCCAACACTGAACTACAAGCAAGGGCTGTATTGTCCATACAACGTGGACACTCTCCAACATTTGAGTTCTGGCTTTCACTAGCTATCTTTGTGCCCTTGAAGAAGTCATTTTAACTGAACTATTTACATATAAAATTATACTATGTATTTCAAAATAATAGGAGCACAGGGAAGTAATGTGGGGTTTAGATGAAATATGATTACTCATGTTGAAACTGGGTAACAGGATGAGGTTCATTACTTAATTCTCTATTTTGTGTAAGTTTAGAAATTTCCCATAATTAAATAAAAGGAGTCACTTTAGTTCTCAGAACCTCAGTTCCCTTTGGAGGACTCATTATGTTCTTTACAGGTAAAGGATGTTCTAAGAATCAAATAAGAATGTGCTGTGAATGCAAGAACTAGAGCACAAAAGTAGTAAAGTTATAACTAAATTCTGGAAGAACCAACACACTATTGCTGCTTCCTGATAAGGGGGAAATAACTGTATAATTCATTTTCTATATTCAAGTTTAAAGCCCTGTAAGGTAACCAGATTCTAAATAAAGAGCCAAACCTGAAGATAAACCTGTGCCTGAGGTGAGATGGTTAATAAAGAAGGGGTGGGAGGAAGAACAGAAGGAAGCTGGGATGCCTCATGAACTACAAAAGAGCATGACACCCAACACCAAGTATGTTTCATGTGCAATCCTTCCACAATCTTCCTGCTACACAAAAGCTTGACTGCAGGGACAGGGAAGACAGCAGACATCAGTACCTTTGATTCATTTGATAACTATTTTACTGCTACTGCAGACAGCCCTCTGCTGCTTTCAAATATCACTCCTGGTGCAGTATGGAGAAGAGAATGGAAGAAAATTAGAGTGACTAAAGAAAAGGAGTCAAATCATAAGAAGTTTCCATAACAGTTGAGGAAAAAATAATACTTTAAGTTGGGATAAAGCTAATAGAATTGGAGAGAAAATAGAGTCAGAAGAGATTTAGGACTTAGGGGCTACAGGTTAGAAAACAAAGCATGTAAAAAGTGAGTGGAAAAAGTATAGATGAGATGAAAGAAAACAAATAGATAAGATATATTTAGGGACAAAGAGTACAATAAACTGAAATCTAGAACTTCTCTCCTTGAGAGAGAGAGAGAGAACCGTGAACAAAAAAATAAAATAAAAACATACTAATTTAAAATTGCAAGTCCAGGCCTCCATTGATAGATATTCATCTAAGAAACAAAATGAAAAAAGAATCAGGACAAGCTTCCTAGAAGTAGTGATGAGTGGACCTTTTAAAAGGAAGAAAGAAGAAACTTTCAGAAGAGCACAATGTGTGTTCAGCGAACCAGGAGCAGCTTCATTTGTTTGGCAGGAATCTGAAATATTGTTAGAGACTTAGAGACAAATTATAGTCAGGCTGGGAAATAACCAGATAAGAAATGATTTCTGACTTGCAGCCTTAAATTGTTGCATTATTGGTAAAAACAGGGTATGTGATTTAAGAAACTAGTTCTCTAACTTACTAGCTAGGTAATGTTCAGAATTAAACTACCCTGGGATCAATATCCTCATCAATAAATTGAGAAAATATTTCCTTTCATAAGTGTTATAGGGTGAATGTATTCCCCACCCCCAAAAATTAGTATGTTGAAGCCCTTACCCTCAATAACTTGATTATTTGGAGATGAGGTCTATGGGGGGGGGTAAGTAGGTTTAAACAAGGTAATGAGGGTGGGGTCTCCACAATGAAATCAGTGTCCTTGAAAGAAGAGGCAGAGGCTAAGAGGTCCCCCTCTCTCTGCCGTATGAGGACACAGCCAGAAGGCAGCAAGCCAGGAAGACAGTCCAACCAGGGTACTGAAATTAGCCAGCACCTGGATCTTGCACTGCCCAGCCTCCAGAACTACAAGAAATAAATTCCTGTTGTTAAACCACTCACTCTAAGTAGTTATGGCAGCCCAAGCAGACCAAAACAATATGGAAAGGGTCCTTGTGATGCTAAAGTGATATTATAGAGGTAAAAACACTTAAGAAAGTCTTTAAAGCAAAATGCAAATATAAAGAATTATACTGCACTTAATTTCATCTTAATATAGGTTTATTCAATGTACTATTTATCTATTTTAATAATTTGGTGATCAAAATCATTCCATATCCCAGGCAAATTCAGCAACTTATGCAGAAAATTAAAGAACTTTTAGGGTGCCTGGGCGGCTCAGTTGGTTGAGCATCCAACTCTTGATTCCAGCTCAGGTCATGATCCCAAGTAGGTTGTGTGATTGAGCTCTGTGTCAGGCTCTGGGCTGAGCATGCAGCCTGCGTTAAGACTGTGTCTCTGTCTGTATCTCTCTCTCTCTTCCCATGCCTCTGCCCCTTTCCCCTCACATTCATTCATTCTCTCTCTCTCCCCTCCCTCAAAAAAAAAAAAAAAAAAAAAACTTTAATTTCTCAATTTCCCAGAGACTATATACAAGAAAACTCTCAATTATTCATGCATGGAGCCTGCTTAAGATTCTCTCTCTCCCTCTGCACCTCCCCTGCTCAAGCACATGAATGCTCTCTCTCAAAAAAAGTACATCCAAAAATATTAAGTTGTTTGTAGATACAAAAACTTAACATAATCTATGTCAAAAATAGGGACTATTTATGTGAAAACTATGATAATCTATAAAGTAAAATTCTATGCAGTTATTTAACCATGTTGTAGAAGAAATATTACTGATAAGGGAAACTACATTTTTTAATAAACTTATCATTATTTTACAAAGGAGTTTGCAAAGAACTACAAAATACCATCACATAATACATATAATACACATGTACAGAAAAACTAGAAAAATAATCTCCAAAAGGTACTAGTGGAATTATCCTTTGTGGGTTTCCAAATTTTTGACACTGAGTGTGTATTAATTCTTTTAGCTAAGTGAGTAGGGGCATTTAATATGACTATATAATCAGAGATGCTGATGTATGTCACCTATAATTAAAATAAAAACTAAAAACAAAAACATGGTATTTATAGCAAATATTTACAGAAACCAACTTTCATATAGTTACTCTAGAAATAGTGTATGTAACTGCTACTTATAACTCTTCATTTCTTTTAACCCTGATACTAACTGAGCTATTTCACGTTTATGTAAAGAAAACATACGCTTCATCTGACTACACTCCTCACTGGCACATGCCCACAATCACAGTCTAATCTGTCTTACCATAGGAAAGCACCATGGCCAAAACAACATAATCAATATCAAATGTCATTTTACATGTGTACACAATGGTGAAGTTTCTGAACAGGTCTCAAATAGGTGTCCTATGTCATCACAGAAAGTAAAATGCACTAAACAAATCAGTATCCACTATGCATTTAGAGGTTTAGCCTTAACTACACAGCTCTTCAAATAAGAGTTGATGAAAGAAAGGTATAGGGAAAATGTATCCCAACTTCCCTATCTGATCATAAAGTCCAGTTTTTAGCTATTCTCCCACTGACATATTTTTCATCTCTAAGTTATTTTCCACAAAGCACAATGATAACAACATTCATGAGCTCATAATCTAAGTATAGGCTTTCTTTAAAAGGAGTCACTTAAATACACAATGATAACTGGTTAAAAAAAAACCCTACAGTTCATGGTTTTAAAGAATACTTCAGGAAACCCATTAATGAACACAAAAGCACATCCAAATCCTTTCTTGGTTCCCACAGTTCAAAAATGCCAGCAAAGCTACCAAACAGCTGTGAAACAGACTAAGGCTGAGAACTGGAGAAAGTAAACAAAGCAGCCCACTCCTCCATCAAAATGCACACTACAGAATTTTTAATGAGAATGCAATTAATTAACTTTAGAACAAAAGTTATATTTGAA